ATACATAGAATCTTTTTTACTTATTGATATCCTCCTTCAATGTGCCTCATCCTTATTCAATAGACTTTAGTATGTTAGATGGTAACTATAGAAGAATCAGTTGGCTGATTACAGAATACACTTTCAACTTTCAGTCAAAATACTGTTGTATGGCCTTTTCTTGATTGAATACTTTGGAGTTAAAGATTGAAGTTTTGTAGCAGGAAGCCTATACTTATTGATAGAGCTCTTCTCAATTAAGTCCAAATACATGTATCCAATTAAAATAGTGTTATTTCTGTATCATGAAGTTGATAAAATAATGTTGATAATAAAGAGAGAGAGACCTAGAAAAAAAATCTTCAAGGAGAAGGAAAAACTGTTTATCAGCAAGAGAGGAGATTTGGGAAAGAGGAAAAGGAAAAAAAAATAAATTACTCTTATATTTGTAATTACTAGATATATATAAGACCTCACAAAAAAAAGATTGGTCTATTTATGTTTTCTTAAACATAAATACTCTTTCTAGATATATTGCCAGACAGTTAGAAGAGCCTTGTATGGTATCAACACATCTTAGATTCAACCTGCTACAAAGTTCTCACCTTTGGCAGAAAAAGAAAAGCAAAAAGAGGAAAAGGGAAAATTCTTAAAAAAGAAGTTTTTAATGAAGTAGAAATAAGTAGAAAAGTGTTTTTTTATAAAATTTTTTTTTGTTTTTTATATTTATTTTTTTTTATAAAATAAATTATATACAGTATATAACAAAAATAATTAAGCTTATATTATAATTTTTTTAATTTAAATAAAACTTTAAATATATTATTTTTAATATAGTATTAATAATAAATAGTTTTATTTTTTTAAAAAATTCAAATTTAATTTAATTGTTTTAAAATTTTAAAACAAATAGTTAATAACAATTTTTAATTATTGGATTTTTTTTACTGTTAGAATGGGTCTACCTATTTGATATAAGTTGATATTAACAAAAAAAATTACAATAGATTAGAATTAATTTACTTATATAAAGATCTTTAATATAGTGACTATAAACTTTTGCTTAATAAAAGTCTTATATTTAATGTCTATTTGTGATTTTTTTTAAATTTTTATAATTTTCAAAACAAAATTTAAATAAAAATCCAATTTTACAAAAAATTTTTTATTGATTTTTTTAACTTGAAAATTTTCAATAAATAATTTACTGATCCATAGTTTATATAGTTAAAAATTTATAAAGATTTTTTTTTTTTTAAAGAAACAGATGGTCCTTATATATTTTTTTTATTATAAATTTTATATTTGCAAGTATAGTATAAAATTTTTAATCTATAGCATAATATATAGTGTGGGACAAAAATAACCAGAATCAAAAAATTATTTATTGCACATTAACTTGCAATTTAACATAATACTAAAAATATATTATTTTAAAGTTTAAAACCTACACAGCAATCTTTATTAGTGTCAGTATGAGATATATTTCTCCCCTAACTCAATAACCAAATTACAATGATGCTTCATCGATTTTATATAGTTATTTAGAACAATTATTGAGATATTATCTCACTCCTCAATTATAAATCATTTCAGATTATCAAGATTTTTTGATATTCTTTTTTTTACTTTATCCTTCACAATACTCCATAGGCTCTCAATGGGGTTTAAGTTCAGACTGTTTGACAGCCACTCAATAATCTCCAGAAAATAATTTTTAAGAAAATCTTAAGCAAGACAGCTTGATTATTTGGGATTATTGTCTTGATGAAAATGCTACCTGTCCCTAAGTATGCAGTTAATCTTGGATAAGTATTTTTCAAGGATTTTTGTATAAAGTTCTGCATTCATATTTTGCCTAAAGCAAAATAAACTTGTTTTTCCTATCATATAGAAGCCACTCCACAAATGAATTTTTCTTTGGTTTTTTGGCATTAGATGGATCAGTTATATGCTCTTATACCAATGTTCCACAGTATTTTTGAACAGCTGAAAAGCTGTCTTGTCTGAAAATAATATCCAGTTTCAATGTTTATTATGATATTTTTGAGCTTACTCTACACATTTTTGCTTGTAGACCTCAATAAACATAGGTGTCACTCTGGAGAGATTTTTTTTATATCCAATATTGTTAAGATATCTTGCAATGGTTTGATAAGAAACATTTATACTTTTTTCTAATAGCTTTATTGCCAAAATCCTTGTCTAAATAGTGGGATCTCAGCATATATATTGCCCAAGCATAATCGCTACCTCCTTTATAATTTTTTCTAGACAACTATTGCCTCCTGAGTATTCTAACGACTTATTTTTGTAATGTTTTCATATATTGTGAAGAGGGAGACCTTCATTCTTATATGTAGCTTCTTGGCGTTATGTATACCAATGTTCTATAAATGTAATAAAGTTTTGTGTTGCTTTTTTTCAGGAGACAATAGCATTTCGAGGAGACACAGTACAAGAAAAAATAATATTATAATCACAAGATAATTATTATTTTTTGCTCCAGTTGTGTATTTATTCTATAAAAAAAAATGGTACAGTTTAAATTAAATTTGGATAAGTTAGAAGATTTTTTGTTTTACAAAAAATTTTTCAGTTATTTTTGTCTTATATTATATATTTCTTTTTACTAGAAAGAATTTAATACAAGACTTACAATTGCAGCCTATCTACTTAAACTTCTTAGTATTATTCAAGAAGATAATAAAAAAAAATTTAAAATCTATATTATATCTTAAATAGTATTTAGTTATCCAGAGAATTTGATTATCTAACTATATAAAAGTACTGTAGCTACTATATACAAATTGACCTTCAAGTCATAACTAGGATTGGTACACTTGTTTTTCAAATATAACTTGGTGTATAACAAATGGGACAAGAGTTGATTTCAAGCTATACTAAATCCAAATATATCAAAATAAAACAAATCTTTTACCATTTGTATCTAGCATTGATTCTTCATTTGAATCCATTACTAGAACTAAAGATTAAAAAGTGGCAACTGTCTTTATTATCAAAGTAATTATTTGGCAATATCAATTTTTTATCATTTTTATCTAGTATAGTTCTTCTATTTTGAAATTTATTACTAGAATTATAAGTTGAGAGGTGAAAATTAATCTTGCTATTAGAGAGGCTTTAAAAGGTATATTTTGGTTTTATAATAAGCTTGAACTAAAAAGTATAGAAGAGGTTGAACATAAAGTAATGATTTGTTAAAGAAAATATTAGATATATAGTGGAGTTGGAGTTTTTTAAAGGTATTGATACTTAACCTTATATGATAAGCTTATATTGTCAGAAGAGTAAGTGAAAAACTTTTGTTGTTATTATTAGTTTGTGTTGTGAAGGTAATTAGAATCTCTGATTTTTATATATTATTCTACTAAATTCTTTAATCACCAGTATAACACCTGTAAACTAATCTATCTTATTGTTAACTATATTAACATTAGTTGCTATATCTCTTTATAAATAATGGAGTACAACTTCTTGAATATTTTCAAATAATAATAGTTGTATATCAGTTTTATAAATATATCTAGTCTAAATATCAACAAGTAAACAATATTAGATTTGGTAATAATAATTATGTTAATCTTTTGAAAAGAGTAAACTATTTGTTTTTTTTCTATAAAACTATAGAAAAGAAAAAAATTTTGAAGCCCATGTCTTGAGAGAAGTTATCACTTATGAATATGATCTTTGAAAATAGAAAGTCAATTGTATAGCTTTGAAAATTGAAATTAAACAGAATTAGAAAATCACATGAGATTCGAAACACTATTAAAAATGATGATAGAGTATACTCCACTATTAAATTTACAGATCGAAAAAAATTATTAGGATCTTTAGTCAACTGACCAAAAGAGTGATATTATAAAGAGTGAAATTTATAAAAGAAAGAAAGGTTTAGAAAAAAAATTTTTTAAAAAAAAGAAAAACCTAACTTTGACAGGAAAAAGAAAAAAAAAAAGGAAAATGTAAAATATATAAAAGGTATATAGAAGAGATAGAAAAGAATAGAAAAGGGGAAATAAAGAAATATGAGAAAGGAAAAGTAAAGAAAAAGAAAAAAAAGTAAAAAAAGTAAACAACTCAAAAATTTTTTAAAAAGAAAAATTTTCAAGTGTAGAAGAAAGAGTGGAAAAGAGTTTAAATTCTGTTTAAAAATTTATAAAAATTCATATGTTAAAATTTAGATCTTTTTATATTATTAATAAAAAAATTTGATATATATATTTTAATAAAACTATTATTAAAATATATCAAATTTTGTATTAATAATATAAAAGAATCTAGATTTTAACATACAGTATAATTTTTTAAGAATTTTTAATTATGTAAATTATTAATTTATAAATTATTTTTTAAAAATTTCAAGTTAAAAAATCATTAAAAAAATAATTTTTAAAATTGGATTCTTATCTAAATTTTACTCTAGAAATCATAAAAATCCGAAAAAAATTAGAGAATCAATAATTGTAATAAATTATTTGTTCCAACTTTTTTAAAATAATGAAAGTAGATTTGAATTTTTAAAAGAGGGGTAACTTATAACCAGTATTGTAAAAGATTTATAAACGGTAATGTTTGTTTTTTAAAAAAATCTATATTATTATATTTAAATTAAACCTATCATTTATACAATTATTTTTATGCTACGTAATAAGTAAAAATCAAAAATCAAACAAATATTATTTTTATTTTGGTTTTTCTAAATAATAATTAATCTAATTAAACTATTTTTTAACACATTAGATTATATTAAAACTTTCTATTAGATCCGAATTGTCTTTATATTTGTTATTTACACGTCCGTATTTTATTAGAAATTTTAATTCTATGTACGTAATTCGTGAATCAAATCATTTCGTTAGATTGATCACGAAAATTATATTATAGCAACGATATGTTCTCGCAAATTAACTACAGCAATTCATCCGAATTTCAAAAAAAAAATTTTTTTCGTATAAAGGAAGTCGATTTTAATCAAGAATCAATTGTCCTAAGTTTCATTCCCCATGAACCTCATTCATTGGCTGATCCGCAATAAGTTCATTTGCAAGATCTTTGTCACACTCTTTAACAAAATCAATAGTCATTGGTAAATCGTCATGAGATATGAGAGCTGCGACTGACATGACATTTGAGAGTTCGCTATTATGTTCGTTAACAGGAAGAGAAACCTGCTCGTGATTTGATGATTCAGGTTCACCTTCAATATCTTGATGTTCCAGCGTAGAAGGTGTTCGTGCCTGCTCTGTATTAGCTGGAACATCAAATAAATCGTTAACTGGTGAATATAATTCTATTGAAACCATTGGTTGTTGTTTTGGCTGTTGTGCCTGTTCAACATCCCGAGTAGCATTTTCCATCTTAATCCGAATGATATCAGGTTTAAGTAACACCACTATAGACCTCGCAAGCCTGGCTTCCATCGTTTCCAACATGTTGAGATCTCCTGTTTTCTTCGCTAATTCTATGAGCAACAAAATATACTCATGTACATAAACATAATGTCTGCCCGCCCTAACGATTTGTATAAATGCCATAGTTCAATACAGATTTGCAATCTATGCATTTATACGCAAGTTTAAAATGATTTTAGCATACCTTTCAAATTCGGGTCTCCAAACATTCATCATTGGCTTACTTATGTGTGTTTTTAATTGAAATAGGGATTGCAATATTGTCTTTGCTTCCTCTGGTTTTTCTTCAACATGATATGTTAACCAAGCCTGCCGAAAGACTGGGCGATGATACCATTTGTTCTTATCAGCTTTTCGTATATTTTCCAATTTTGTACATATGAGATTATATGCTCTTTGGTATTCTGGTTTTTGAATATTGAATATGTCTCCCTCATTTGTGTAATCCATGACTCCATTGTCCATTTCGAGAGAAACGCCAATTGATTTCTCGACGATGGAAGGCTTAAAAAAGATAAATACATTAGGTCATATCGATAAGAAATAAAATCGATAGTGAGATGGAAAGGTATGCAATCATACCTTTATTTTACTGGTTATTAGATATTTTGCTAATGATGATGTCAGTTTATATTCGGCATCTAATATCTTTTCTTGTCCTGTAATACCAGAACTTTCTGGTGTTCTTTCTACCGCAAGTTTAAATAAACTTATGACCACCTTCGAATTCATAAGAACGTCAAGGCTCTATCAGAAAATTGCCTAAGCAAAAAGTTGTATGAAAATTAAGAACTTACCTCCGGGCTTTTTTTAAGCTTTTTATAGCATTTACCAATCATATAGGGTATTCTAAAGGAATGTTAGTAGGAATGATCGATATTTTAATACAAAATGAAAATATAAAATTATATGATTACCTCCAATCGCGGATAATGTTTTTTTCTGCTGATCCATTCGTGGACGCGTTTGAAGATTCGTTTGTAGAACCATTGGGAGTTTGAATTGGAGTTGTGTCAATATCATTAGGGGTTCCCATAGGAGTGTCATTTTCGGCATCATTTTGTTGTTCGTCATGTTCTTGTGCCAATTGAACTTCTAATTGTAAAGCTCTTCCAAAACATACGGCTGCAAATTGGCACGCCTGATCGGGTGTAGGTTTACGCCGTGACTCTGCATGGATAGGACTTAACTCAAAGGCCTCCATCGACATTGGCTCAGTCATCATTGAATAAACTTGATATCCGAAATCCCTCCAGAATCTGATTACTTCAAACTGAGGAGTTGATGCGTTTCTATCTGAAAACCAATGAATAACTTTGGCACCTCTCAAAAAACAATTAAAAGATTTCTTTTGATATTCAGTTATTTTACTTCGATTGTTAAGAATCTCCTCAGCACTCCACGAAAGCGTCTCGTTTGCTAAGTTGGCATAGCAAATTCCTAATGCATACCATGATGCAAATCTTAGTGGATTCGAACGAATGTCAAATGTAAATTGTTCTATGGCTTTTTCCAGAGTCTCCATGGCCTTGGTAGCATTTGGTTTGGAACGAATCTTAAATTGATTTAACAAAATTTTACCACGAAAATAATAGAGATCCGAAAGATCAGATCGAGCAACAGGTTCCTGATCTGAAATTTTTTCAAGATCTGTTATATCGTCACTATGTTCCTGGTATCGTACTGCGTCATAGAAATTAATGTCGTCATCAAGGAAATGTTGGGTTTTCCAACTACACTGAGCGAATCTATTTTCACTTGGAGGAGCGACAAGAGTTGCCATTTTATCCAAAGTTTCTTTGACATCATTTTTAATGGCCCATGTTTTGTAAGATTTACGCGACTTCAAATTTAAATAATTTCTGATTTCCCGGAAGAGTAATTGCGCTGTTTGGTGGTCGAGATCAACAGACGGAGTTTGATGATCATTCGGTGGTGTTGAATCCACAGTTAATGAAACTCTATATAGGCAATGACAACATTGATATTCTTGGAATCGATAATCCTTTAAATGCAAATACTGTAGTGCCGTAATAACAAATTTTAAGAATATGCCATTATCCATTCCACAAATATGACGCTCTCCAAGTTGATCGTGCACAACTTCCAGAAACTCTGCAAAATCGTCGGCCAATTTATCGATCATCTTCTCTTTTAATAAATAACTGAACAAGACCCACGTTCGAACGCACAATATGTTTAACGGATCACTAATAGCATCTTTTAATACAAGACTACGTGGAAATAGAACCTCGAGGCTAATTCGAAATAACAATCGGAAGCATGGATTAAATTTCTTGCGATCGATCGTTGATAACATCGCGAGCGGATGCTGATTCGAGAGAAGTTCGATCACGTTTGCAAGTGATTCGTTAACCGTATTAATAGTAACCCAGAATAAGACGACTCGGTCACTATCAAACGTGTCGGACACCCAATGATATAAAAATTTAATCGAATCCGCAAAATTATCAATAGTCCGTGTCCACTCATCCTCTGGTTGATTTTTGCGAGATTGAATCGTCCATATCTTACGATCTATCTCTGGGACATTTATTTGCGCATCGTATGCACAATTCGCTATTATAATTCCATCATTGTAACCACCGGACAGATATGTTCTTTTACAAGTATCTAGAAAATTAATTGATGCATCTAACGCTCCTTTCCATATCTCCATTCGAGCAACACACCACCAATATCTTACACTTAATTGTGATGCCCAGTTTTTCCATTTGTTGTAATAATAATCCCATTTTTCCACATCAGGACCAGATGTAGGTGCCTGAGACTTGGCAATCGTTAGGAAATCGGACATATAGAATGATGATCGAATGAAACAATCTATATAATTGGTCAAAGTGAACTGTAACCCAGAGGAAATTTCCGAATTATGAGTACTGCTCTCTATGGATGGTGCCCATGTCCACGAAATTTGTGTGTCTAATAATAATTCATAAACAGCCATCAAGATTTCCATCTTTTGTTTGTAATCTTTCGCGATATTTCCATCATTAATATTCATCAGCATCTCTGCACAATTACCTTTCTCATCCCAATTTTTACATAGACTGTCGAGAATCGAAAGTAAGTCCATATCTACTCTTTGTAGTATCTCCCTAGCAATCTCTTTTAGGCCACCTGGCCAACGACATAACCACAATGATTTTTCTGTTCCGTCATCTAGATTAACGAAACTTCCAAGCAGGTGTGTTATGTACTTGCATAAACAATCCACTATCCCAGAGTTATGGTTATTCAATTTGTTCACAAAGGGAATCAATGTTCCCTCCGTATCGGAAATCTCATTAAAATATGATGATGATGGCGGAGGATTCGTGTTTGGGACAAACATATAATACCTAGGATCGGATGTTGTCTTTTGACCTGTTTTATTAGCCACATGGTCGATCAAATTCCCTTGATCTTCATTAGATACATGAAAAGTCCATATTTTATTGAAATATCTCAGAAACTGTTCGATTTGATCTTCGACATCAGGCTGCTGGTTAACAAGGCAATAATCTGAATCAAATTTGGCCATAAGACTAATTATTTTATCGGTAAAGTCGGATGCTGCTTCATCACGTTGGCGGTTAAAGGTCTCAATCGTTTCTGTTCTTTTCGAAGCCCACCTATTAACTCTTCCATTAGTTGATCTATCTTCTGCTTCGGTTGCAACTTCTATTTTTCTTTTACGTTTTTGTGAAGATCCGCTGACCTCATTCGAGATAGTGGAATTGCTGTAACTACATGATTGCAATTCTATTAATATTCTTTGATTTTTTTTAACCATCGAATCGCAATTACCGAGGTCGTTTTGATCAGACATCAATACATCAAAAGCATGCAGCAAAGCCTCTCCTAATCCAACCCATGTTACTTGATTCAGTTTGACATTAAATGTTAGATCAGTTTTTTCTTTTGATAATTGGTAGAATCCGGAAGATTTTACGCGTCTTGGTATTAGTTCCGAGCAAACTGGTTGTATAACTGGTGTTGCATTGTCATAATAATTAATCGGCAATGAGAATCTAATCCAAGTATCAGTCAAGAGTTGATATCTCAATTGAAGAAGTATTCGATTGCAAGGATCAATCATCAATCCTTTATCCACCGTAGATAAACACGCCGTAAAATCACCAAAATCGTATAAAAGTCGGCATAATTCTTCGAAAGCTTGACTGTGATGTGGAGTAGTAACAATGGGTTCTGATCGTGTCCCATCACGATTTGTTTTGTTTAAAAAATCCTTTAAAGCCTGATTAAACGCATAAAGAGCAAGTTCGCGATCATTTAATTCTTCGGACATGGCGAGCCTACCAACCCTCAGCCAAATACTGTAATCGCTCGGATCGATGTTTAATGCCCTGCAATAATATTCAATCGCATTCTGAGCAGCAATTTTTGCCTTTAAGGTCTTATATTCTTCCTCTAAAATTTCTGCATAGTTTCTCATTATGCAGTATTTTAGGCGAGTTATTCTTGGTGATAGCTTTATTCCATTATTTTCCATTTGATACAAGGGATTTTTAATTATGTCGTGTCTAAGTAACGAAACATAGGTTTCCTTTGCACTAGAAGGATCCCGTCTTAGAGCCAAATTATATTCCTTTTCGCATTCTCGAAATGGAGCTTCAAGGGGATCCACTTGAATCTGGGCTTGGGAGTGAGTGGAAGGAGCATTCAAGGGAGTAAACTTTATGGTGGACATTTTTAAACCGTGACTTTTTTATTATGTTCTATTGATAATATGTTACGCGACTTAGAGTTTTTAAAGTTTAATGGTCTATCCTTGATTAAAAGGTTAAAAGATGACACCAAGTTGGGAGTACTGTATGCTGAAGATTTTGTAGATCAATCATTGGTCGAAGTTATGTGTGAATTATCTGGATGTATCACTGAATTGTTGAAAATGAAAATTATTCCATTGAGTATAAAAAGATTTTGATCGTCAAAACTACAGTCCGACCTCCGAGGCTAATTTTTTTTTAGCACATGATCGGTGGTTCACGTGATATGTGTTCTATTTTTTTAACGCTCTGGTGTAGATTTTGAGTCAAGATTTACAGTACATGCTCGCGCATCCGGCCTATGGCTATTCCTATTAAAAATAGTAAAAATATAATATTTTAATTTAATAAAAAATAAAATTATATTATATTTTATAGTGTAGATTATTTATTTCATATATAGCACGATATACTATATAAAGTACTGTATATAAGAAAAAAAAATTAATTTCTTAAATACAAAATATACAATAAACTAAATATTAATCTAATTATTACAATAGTATTTAATAAATAGATTAAAAAGATTTTAAACCAATATATAATAATTAAATAATATAAGTAGTTAGATAATCTTATTTAAAATTTTTTTGAAAAATACTGTATATTAAAAAATCTATAAAAATAAAAAAGATAATAATAATAAGATCATTTATTTAATATATTTTATTTAATTAATTTTTTTTTTTTTTTTTTTTTTTTTTTGTAGGTAAACATCATTTCTTTATTTGATTTGTATATGTCAAGGTATACATCGTGAAAGAAACAACATCTCTCATACGCTATTGCGATAAGTTAAATGCTAGCTTGCCTACAGCA